ACTACTTGGATACCCGTGAGAGCTCATGATACAGATGATGAAGTGTTTGTTTTTAATGAACTGTTTCTCAATGTTCAGCTTATATCAAAACCATCTGGAGGGCTGGTCCTCATCTCCAGAATTTATCGCCCATAACTCTGGAGGGGGGCTAAATCTTTACATTTTTTTACACCTTCACTGATGTTGCTGCTGCCGTCCATTCATGTTATTATTTTTTAACTGTATCTTATCCGTCAGATTATTCAACTACTTGAAAGCTAGAAACATGTCTGTTTTCTCAAAAATTCTTCTCCTGGGACTGATAGATGACCCAACCCTGCAACGAATCCTCTTTGGACTGTTCCTGTCCATGTACCTGGTCACAGTGCTTGGGACCTGCTCATCATCCTGGCCATCAGCTCTGACCCCCACCTCCACACCCCCATGTACTTCTTCCTCTGCAGCCTCTCCTGCACTGACATTGGCTATACAACATGCACCACCCCACAGATGCTGGTCAACATCCAAATGCAGGATCAGACCATCACCCATGTATGCTGCTTCACCCAGGTTGGCTTTATCATAATTTTTTAAACTCATGGAAAATTTTCTCCTTGCAGTAATGGCCTATGACCGCTATGTGGCCATTTGTCACCCCTTGAGATACACAGCCATTATGAACCCCTGCCTATGTGTCCTGCTGGTTCTGGTCTCCTTGTCCATCAGCACTGTGGACGCCCTGCTGCATAGTCTGATGGTGCTACAGCTGTCCTTCTGCTCAGACCTGGAGAAGCCCCACTGGAACATGCATATTATCCTCATTTATGAATCTACCTGAGAATATTCTAAGGAAATATAATCAGGAAATACACTTAAAATTATGATGGGAACAATGATATTCCAAGCATGTAAGGAAATTTCAATGTGTTTCCTTGTATTAATATATCAAAAAAGAAAACGATATGATGTTGACCACCTATGACTGATACTAACTTTAAAAATGCATAGTAAAATATACATGAACCTTACTTATAGTCCCATATATGTCTTTGTAGAATTTAACTATTATTTCTCTTTTTAAAAGTGAAGAAGTTTATCATGGTGAGGAAAATCACTATGATGCTATCTTCTCATAGATTTCAGATGATTCCTGTTTGTAGGTTGTTCTCTTATCTGGCAAGCTTTCTATATTCTTTTATCAGTTCTAACAGATTGGGGGTTAATTCTGATTTTTCCTAGGTAAATGGTTATGTAACCTCAAATAATGACAAATTTAAGGTTTTATTTTCATAACTTCTAAACATGATGTATTAGACACTAGCTAGTCAGTCTCACCAGCAAAGCATTAAAAGAGATCCTACTGGTAGAATGACACAGACATGGTTACCTTATGTACATATATGACTGCATGACCAATGTGATTCTATAACATGTACCATCAGAAAAATGAGAAATTATACACCATCTATGGAGGATGTATCAAAGTGCATAAATGCACTCCACTGTCAGGCATAACTAGTTAAAACAAAATAATTTTTTTTAAAAAGAGATCCTACTAAAATCAAGGAAAAAAAAGAAGCACATCCATTATCATCATTTAGTACTTTTCTGGAAGAACTAAAACTGGACAATAAAAGCAATAAGAGCACAAAAGCTGGAAAAAGAGGCAAACTATATCACTTACAGTGGATATGGATGTACACATAGATAGCAGTCTCAAGAAATCATCTTTTTTTTTTTGACTTAAAAGAGTTCTGGAAATCCTCCTGGTTCATTCCACTGATAGGATCTGAAAGTGGGCTAAGTAATCTGAACCCAACTGCCTCTGCCCGAGTCAATTCTTGGAAAGACCAGGAATTTTTCCATAAAAAGGAGACCAGCAGAGTAGAGGGAAAGCCCTAGAGAAGGGAGGCGGGGATAGACAGGGGCGGTAGTAGGGCATGACATTGACCAACTTAAGTCGTTACCTTGTGTGCATGAAGAAATATGGAACAACAACCCCGCTGTTACATATAATTGTAATGCAGCAATGAAAATTTGAGAAAAATAAATTTAAAAAATAAATTGAAAAATTAAAAGGGTCTTTTCCCAAAATAAAGAATTTATACATTACAAATGAATCAGTCAACATATGCAATGCTAAAGCCTTTAAACGTAAAAGAGTTTAAAATGAACACTCACCTGGAATGCCACCTGCGCTGATTAAGTGATGGATGAAATCTAGCCCAGTGTACTGAGTGACTGGAACATCTCTGTAGCACTCAGTCTCACTGATTTTGTCATGAAGTATCAATTTTTCAAAAAAACATAATTTCAAGGTTACCTAATACAAAAAATGTATCGAAAATGTCATGATGGAATTGTAATGGTGCTACTTATACTCCATGCAGAAAATAACAGCTCTGTCTACATTTTGATAGTCAGCAGTGATAAAAGAGAGTATATTAGAATCTTTGTAAAGTATGAGAAAAAATAGTTCAACAAATATTTCATAATGATTCACACGTGTGTTAAGTATATCCCCTTGTTACCGGAAGTAGCTTTACACCTAAAACTGAATCAGGCATGCTGAAATCATTGATTAAAATGTGATGGTTTCCTTTGTAGTTTAAAGGAGGACTGTAATTCTTTAGAGTGAGGCCACCTGCTGTGTGAGTAGGGGCGGGGCAATGAGCTGAGCAGAGACAGTGCTGAGGGCTGAGTGGGGCAAACAGGGCCTCAGGGGTCAGGAATCAGCACCCTGAATCCCTCACTCCTGCAGAGTTGGTCTTCAAGGACCCCGCACCCTTGGGATCAGAATGATAGTCAAGTAGCTGCTTTAATGAGGAGCTCGGGATATTGAGCCCCTGGGACACAGAGACTATAGGAGTCAGGGTGGGGCACCCCACTCAGCAGCTCTGCCCCAGCCAGGAAGCAGCACCTGAGCCTCCTCCCGGAGATGAACCTTCCTGACCAGGTACCACTGAGTCATTCAGTGTGTCCTCACTTCCTGTGGACACATCTTCCATCTTCGATAGCCAGGTGAGATGCTGAACGACATTCATACATAAGCCAAACAGGTATGTGAAGTCTCTTAATGCTTTGGGAGAGTGATCCATGTTTCAATTCATTTAGTATTTACTTCATCTTAATACCTATGTATTTAAACATATTCCAGTGCCAAATGAATATTGGTCTCATTGGTGTTTCCTTATTTTTTAATCTGACAATTCCCAGAGGGAGTTTTAGAATATTAAATAATTCCCTGATATTTTCATTTACCATTCGCCTTCTTTTCTGTTTTGTTTGTTTGTTTTGTACTGGAGATTTAACCCAGGATCTCACTGAGTTGCTTAGGGCCTTGCTATGTTGCTGAGGCTAGCTTAGAACCTGTGATCCTCCTGCCTCAGCTTCCCAAGTCACTGGGATGACAGGCATGCACCACCACACCTGGCTCTTTCTGAGGAATGAATAAACACCATTTGTGATTGTTCACAATAAAAAGAAACCAAGAGGAAATGTCAGCGTGAGGGTCCCCTAAGACAAGCAGCATTTGGGTGCTTTCCTTTTAGTCTTTCCTCATCATGAACTGTACCCACTATTGTCCTTCTAGCTTCATTGTAGTAAAATTGAAAAAAAAAATAATGGACATGTGAGGAGTACAAATAATGGTTAGATATATTTATGCACTGGAAATAATGAGCACAATCAAGTAATGAACACCTCCCTGATCCAGTTTCCAGCACACAGGTACCTACAGGTAGAACATCCAGGCTGTCCACAAAGTTGATGTCGGTTGCTCCTCACAAAGGACATTCTAGAGCCTCAGTAACATTTGGAGTGTGTGACTGCAATATTGCACCAAGTGGTAAGTGCTGACATGCCCAGTTTTCTTCACATCCTGAAGGCAGAGACATTGCTCTACAGGGACATTCCTGGTAGTACCATGACAATGTCCATGAACAAGTGTGTGTTATCTTGCAAGCTTCTGATTTCTGAATATCAGGGAATGTATTTTATTTTTGTCTGTTTTCTTACATGTCTATGCATTTCACTTTTTCTCTAAAAATGACGTGACACCTATAGAATTAAGGCCACAACTCCCTTAATGAGACAGAGGATCTCAAAGACAGAGTCCCCCAACTTCCCTTAGAATCAATTGCTAAAGGAGACAATGGGTGTTTCTATGGGGAGTCTTCAGGGCTTCAAATATGGAGGCAACATTTTCTGATATTCACTCAGATACTATCCACCTGCTCTAATTAATTTCACTGGTAGCAATCGCTACTTTGAAAGCAAGGGAAAGACCAAAGGCTTTGGTAAGGAAGAAGTCATTAAAATGTCCAAGGAGAATCATGAGAACTGAGTGATCATGGAGGCATGCTAGTTCTGAGGCTTTGCTGGCAGTGACTCAAGAATCAACTAGGCAGTCAGAGTATCTGAGTTCCAACCCAGTTTTGACCAGCATGCACCGGGGATCTCATATCCATGATATAACCTCACCTTACCTAAGTGTCCTCGTGTGTAAATGGAGATGATAGTTGAGAATTAACACATCCTCGGTTTGGAAATATCTTTAGATGATCTGAAGCAAGACAAAGCCAGAGAATCTTTGCTTTAGAAGGATTTCAAAATTCCATTCTCACTTTTTAATTTTTACTGTCATGAAATGATTTTGAAACCTGACACCTTCTACTTTGTTTCATCTCTATACTTAGCACAGAAACAGTGTGTATTCAGTAAATTTTATTTTGATAGAGGGTGTGGACAGAAAAAAGAGGAATGAGTAAAGAGATGTGGAGGGAAACATTTTCAGAGGGATACACCTGAACAATCACTTGAATTCAAATTGCCCACTGGAAAGCTTTTTTTAATTGGTTTGCAAAATTCAACATGAATAAACCACCCAGAGAGCTTGCTGCTATTCCTTATCCCTGGAGGGTACCAGTAGTAAGTTTGGAGTGAACCAAGCATCTGCATTTCTGTCATCTTCCCAAGGGCTGCTGCTGTCCATAAAATTTATTATCTTTTCACACATCTTTTCTATCAGATTCATTAAGTACATGGAACCAGCAAACCACACAGCTGTTTCAGAATTCCTTCTCCTGGGACTGACAGATGACCCAGCCCTGCAGCCCCTCATCTTCAGCCTGTTCCTGACCATGTACCTGGTCACCATCCTGGGGAACCTGCTCATCATCCTGGCTGTCAGCTCTGACCCCCACCTCTACACCCCCATGTACTTCTTCCTCTCTGCTCTTTCCTTTAATGACATCTGTTTGAGCTCAAGCACAATCCCAAAGATGCTGGTGAACATCCAAAGACAGGATCGGAGCATCACCTACACAGGCTGCCTCGCCCAGGCCTGCTCTGTCATCCTTTTTGTAGTCTTGGAAAATTTCCTCCTTGCAATGATGGCCTATGACCGCTATGTGGCCATCTGCTACCCCCTGAGGTACACAGCCATCATGAACCCTCGCCTCTGTGTCCTGATGGTTCTGCTCTCTGCGTTCATCAGTACCATGGATTCCCTGTTCCACACTCTGATGGTGCTGCGGCTGTCCTTCTGCTCAGACATGGAAATCCCCCAGTTCTTCTGTGAGCTTGCTCAGGTCCTCAAGCTCTCCTGTACCCAAACCCTCATTGATAACATCCTGATCTATGCTGCATCTTTCCTATTTCTTGGAGTTCCCCTCTCTGGAATCATTTTCTCTTACGTTCACATTGTGTCCTCTGTCTTGAGGATGCCATCATCAGGAGGAAAACACAAAGCCTTTTCCACCTGTGGGTCTCACCTGTGTGTTGTCTCCCTGTTCTATGGGACAGGTTTGGGGGTGTACTTTAGCTCTGCAGTGACTGCCTCTCCCAGGAAGATTGCAGTGGCTTCAGTGATGTACTCTGTGGTCCCTCAGATGATGAACCCCTTTATCTACAGCCTGAGGAACAAGGACGTGAAAGAGGCCTTGAGGAAGCTCATGGGTAGGATGGCTTCTTTTCTGTGATGGGTCCTTGCTTTGGATATAGGTTTGTAGTGTAAATCAAAGTGACAGAATTTCTGGTGAACCAGAATGCCTCTCTCCTCCATCAATACAGTTTTTTAAAATAATGAGACAAAATCCTGACCATATGTACTTTAAACTGCCTCGAAACCTGAATTTTCTTTTATGAAGAAGATTTCAATTGTCTGAACACATTTCCCTTTCTTGGAGCTGTGGACTTTTCCGATTCTGTGTGGCACACACTTAGAAAAAGGCAAGCTGGAAGACACGAGTGTTTTGGGAAATAATGAAGCGCCCCGTGGTGGGATGCAGAGTCTGTTTCCCGTTATCATATGGTTGGGAGGATAGATGACAGCTAAGTGCATTTCTACTTGGACTTCAAACTTGTCTTTGGATTTTGAACAGTTCTGCAGTGTTTCCAAAATAATTCAGTCTCTTAACTTCAACATCATTTCTTTGATTCCACCCAGCAGAGCCTGAGTTGGGTAATTTCTTTTACTTTTGTGATATTTTATGGAGCAGTCTCGGAGGACAGAGAGTCGTAGAAGGTAGACAGGGCATGGAAAGGTTTGCACAAGTCAAGATCATATCTGGAGACTGTCTTCAACCTGATCTCATGGGTCGGGAGGGCTACATACATTGTATCTCACAGGTAGATCAAATGTGAGGCAAGAGAACCGCACATTCATACTCAATTACATAATTACTGAGGCATTCCCTAAAAAAGCGCATCATTATAAGGTCATGCTTAGTTTCATTATTTATAAAATCCACGTTATTTATAAAATCCACATAATAAGATTATCTCAGTGACTTGAGATGGTTTTGTAATTTGGGGAAGCTGTCATTTTACAAAGAAAACGAAACTCTGATAAACCTAGACAATGGAGGGAATTATTGTTCCTTACCAAGAATTCAGAAGTAGAAATGTGTAGTTTCAGGCATTTGGGCTTCACTGAGCCCTACATGAGGTGACCTCCTGCCAGGACACGTGCTCCTCAGAGTCTCCAGGTGGTTGCGCAAATGCGGATGCTGTGCCTGGACATGGGGCCAGAGCCAGAAAGATGAGTGCCCGTCCCTCTGTGTTTTGGTAACAGCTTTCTCTATGGAGTCACACAGAAGACATCTGTGTCCTCAGTGAATGGTGGCCTCCAAAATGATGCTTCCTTTTGCTAAAGCCTCTTATTCTTGCATATAGACCTATATGGCAAGTGGGTGAGTATTACTTATTTGGAAGTGAAGGTTTATAGAAAATGATCTTTTCCAGATTATGTGTCTGGGCCTTCATGTAATTTCATGCATTCTTACAATACTTACAGAGGTAAAGAGAAATTTCATTAGTGGAGCCAGAGTTTTTCTAAGTGCTGGGGAATCCAGGGCTCCTTTTATATAGGCTGCATCTGTGAGTTTTAAACAGTTCTGCAGTGTTTCCAAAATAATTCAGTCTCTAACTTTAACCTCCTTTCTTTGATTCCATCTAGCAGAGCCTGAGTTGGGTAATTGGGAAATCAAAAGGCTGCTTTTGTATAAACTCAGTGCATTAGTATCACCCATATTTATCTGCCTGTAGAATTGGTTATATCCATTTGCTTTTTGACTTTGCTATAGTTTCAAGGTCATGAATGATTTCTGGGTCTTTGTTGCCATTTTCATCATTGCATTTCTGAGAGTTCATCATATTTGGGGTTTAGTCCATTCATTTTCATTATAAGGTCATGCTTAGTTTCATTATTTATAAAATCCACATAATAAAATCATCTCAGTGACTGGAGATGGTTTTGTAATTTTATGTGATATGTAGTAACAATAAAAATAATGTTAATGATGAAATTTAGACAGTCACTTTTCTGCTGTTGTGGATAGAGTTGAGTCAATATTCTCTTTCATGTTTCCTGGTAGAAATGTAAGATGGTTTTATTTGCGGGTGGGTTTATTGAATACAAGTTTGCAAACTTCCTCCTTAGAGTAGTTCTAGTGAGTTTTCCACAACTGTGATAATAAATGTTTGTGGTTTAAGTCACCTAGTCCAAGATATTTTGTGAGAGCAATTCCAGCTGATTGATAAATATACTCACCCATGAATAGAAAAAAATCAATCCCAGAGAGATATGTGTGGAGAGGACAATGTGATGTGCTGATTGAATTCCAGAAGTACTGAGAATAATTATTTTCCTAGAAGTTATTTTTATTATTCATTCATTCATCCACAAAAAAATCATAATATAGCCAGGTCCTATTCTGGACACTGAGGACATAACAAAACTTGGTACAAATCCTTGTTCTCAGGGAGAGTTCATTCATCTATGAAGGCAAGAGCTGGCAGGTGACATGGACACTAATATACACCAGGATCTGCTGTCAGGGGGAGGGAATTACTGCCCCACCCTGGGAGTGCACCTGGCAGACAGCCGTTCATTGGCAGCCCAGTTCTTGGACTGCCTCAGTAGAAGAGAGAGACTGCACCCAAGTTCTGCAACCAATGACTAATCAATGAAACATTAAAGGCCTGGCCCATTTGCCACAAGTTGGGAAACTTCAGAAGGTACCTCTCATCTCCATAATTCCAGTGGGCACTGACACTGAGAGAATGTCACAGTTCAATTTCTCCCTTTCATTGTTATTATTATAGAATTTTTATTGTATAGATTTTATAAAAATTCCATTGGTTCATAATAGCTATACATATCATTATAATTTATTTTGACATAATTATAAATGCACATAGTAGAGTTTTCTGCAATTAAGTCCCCTGTACTTTCCCTTACCCTTCCATTTCTCCTCCCCCTATTTCCTTTCCTCTACTTTTATATTTCTATTTATTTACTTTGGGAAAAAAATAGTACCTGTGGATATACATAATGGTGAAATTCACTATAATATATTCATACATATACATTGGAAAGCTGTTTTCCTGTTATCCTATCCCTTCTTCCTCCCCTAAATTCTCTTCTATTCCCTTGATCATTCTTTCATTTTGATGTCATTCTTCCCTGCATTTCTTCCCTCTCTTGGTCTCTCTATCCCCATCCATCAAAGTTTAGACTAGCTTCTTCATGTTGGAGAAAACATTTGACCCTTGACTTTGTGAGTCTGGCTTACTTCACTTAGCATCATAATCTTCAGTTCTATCTATTTACCAGCAAATGTGTTAATTTCATTGGTTTATCCCTTTCCTAATCTTGATTGCATCCTGTTTCTTCCATAGGAATAGAATTCATGTACACACCCTAATATATTTCCCCAATAGCCCAAGAAAATTATAGTCTGTTAGATGCTGACTAATGCATCAGGAAGTAGGATAAGAACATATTAAAGTATTGTACTTTTTGTAAAGTGATGGCGTAGGGGAAGCTTCATTGAGAGGCTGATGTTTGAGCAGAACTGAAAAGGGTTCAGTGATGACTGATGTGATTCTGTAGAGAACGAACCAAACTTGCATTCCTGGAGCAAAACCAAACTTGAAAGAATCCATTATCCCTTTTCATTCCTTGCTGGATTTTATTTTCTGAAGTCATTTTAATAATTTTTAGGAGGCAGGGTACTTTGGTTTATTACCTCAGCGTATTAATCTTGTCTGAATTGGGCATCCATCTTACAGTGACCTAATAAAACAATTTGCATGCAACTTGGCTTTGTAGTGATATTATGAATGAATTCACACCTGAGTTTAATGGATAGAACCATACTTTCAGCTTACAGTCCCCAAAGGTGAAGAAAACTACCCATTGAAAATATTGGGACTGAATTGGAAAAGTATTCATAAATGATAATTAGGAAACAATAGTCCTTTTTAATGCAGCCAGAAGTATCAAACAAAACCAGATGAGAATCTTCTGTACAAAATAAGCAGAACAAAAATTAAGGTTTAAGAAGAATTAATACACTTAAGAATAGATATCTTTTTATGCAATTTTGCAACATCTTAGACCTATTTACAATTCTATTGTGTGTGCCTATGTATATGGAAATTATATTTCACACCTAAAATTTAATTACGCTTCCTGATAAGATGAAATGGATGGGGATATGTAAAATGGGAGGTGGATATTCATCATAAAATTCAATGTGTTTGGTATTCAAGGTATGTGAAATGGAGGTGAGCAGAATCATTGGAGAAAACTGGATGATGTATGCCTGGCCTCGTGGGTCAGAAAATCAGCCATCCTGATTTCCTCTCTTCAACAGACTTGGTCTTTAAGGACATTCACTCCTGGGATCAAAATAATAGTAACATTTCTGGTATAATGAGGAGCTGTGGATATTGAGTCCTGAGGGACACTGAGACTGCAGGTGTCAGCGGTGAAAACCTCGCTCAGAAGCCATGGGAATCAGGAGGCAGCAGCTGTGCCTTCTCCCAATGATGGTCCTCCCTGATCTGGAGCCCACAGGCTCAGAGTGTATCTTCCATCCTGAGGACACGTTTCTGTCTCCACATGCAGGTGAGGTGCTGGGTCCTTCTCAGGGAAGTCACCCAGGAGCTCACTGTCCCTGAAGGCTTTGGACACTAGGGCAGGTGTTTTGCTCCACTTTCCTCCCAGGGAAGCAATGAGGAGCATGCAGGCAGAGGATGAGGAGAAGCAGGTCCCCGGGAGGCTGCTGCCTGACTCCAGCTTCCTGAAACATTCTCTTCACCAATATCCAAGCAGTGCCCATTCTGCTGGGCACTTGCTCTCTCTGGACAGCTGCAGGAACATTTTCCTCCAAAGCAAAATCTGTCACTTCTTGGTGATGGTTCTTTCAAAATATTTTCACTTTTTTATTTTTTATTTTTGTGTGGTAGGTGGGTTTTTGTCAGTGTACCAGTTTGTGAGGGCTGCCATAAGAAAATGCCCCAGACTGGGTGGATGAACGAGAGAGATTTATTTTCTCACAGTCTGGAGACTAGAAGTATGAAGATCAGGGTGTCAGCACGGTTGGCTCCTCCCGAGGCCTCTCTCCTCACCTGGTAGCTGACTGTCTTCTCCCTGTGTCTTCACGTGGACTTCTCTGTGTGTGTGTCTGTG